AATGAATATGTTAATTGGCTCTGGAATTGGCTGTCCCTATCGGTGATTGATTAAAATTCGATACGTCGTGACGCCGCCGCCGCCACGTTGGCCGATCGAGCGTTGGCGTGGACCAAAGAGAGAGAGAGAGAGAGAGAGAGAGAGAGAGAGAGAGAGAGAGAGAGAGGGTGAGCGGATAAGGAAGGGGGAGAACTAAATGTAATAATTATTGAATTGTTAGAAGAAAAATAGTAAGAAGAATAAATACGGTGATAATAAAAAGGTAAAAAAGAAAAAAAGGAGATATACAGGGTGTTAGAAAAGTCTGGAAACGGTTGAATATCTCGAAAACAAACCATTTTAAAGAAAATTTTTTCAAATAAAAGTTGTTTGGTTCGAAGGGATCTATAAAAAGATGTAATTGGTTTGACCTTAAATAGTCATTTGAAGGTCATATGAAGGTCATCTTCAATTTTTTAAACGGAATAGCCCATATATTATTACATATTCTTATAGCTTATCTCGAGAGCTTTCCAAAACACTATAATAAAATATTTTTTCGTTAAGAACTTTTTGAGTAATAACACTTGAAATTTCCCGTACTTTGACATAGAATACAAAATATCTCGTAAAATATTCATCTTTCGATTATCTTGCCTTAATGCTTTTTTGCACAGAATAATGAGACAAATTAATTAGCTTAAAAAAAAAATAAAAAATTTTTTACATAATAAATATAAAAAAATTTTGTTGTGCTTTTTTTAAGCCAATTAATTACACTTCCTACTGGATCGAGGCCTTTTATATACATGAATGATTTTCTTTTGAAGAGTGTGCACTGCTCTTATAAGCAGTTGACTTGTTTTACAGCAGATCTTACGAAATTCGCATATTTGTGTTCAGATTATGCATCAGGACCATTCACGCTTTATGATGGTATGAGGAATGTAAAGTTAACGAAACGCTTACATAGTGCAAGAGTTCATTATGTTACGTATTATCAGCAAACTCCATTGAATATAAATATATGAAGGCTTGGGAACTTTTCCATCATCTTTTATGGCGGATAAAGGATGTAACAGTTGTACTGATAGGACAAAAATTACAAACTGAAAATATAAATTTGGAAAATTGTAATGATTGCAAGTCTCGAAATCGAAGAATTAGTATCGTGTGTCGCCCTGAATCTTATCACGAGTATGTAAGAGAGCCGACGTTTCAGAAACCAAATGTGATCATAATATTTCAATCACATTTTGATACAACAAGCGCATGGCAAGAATATAGCTTATTGATATCACAGAGTATGAACTGTTCATATATTCTAACAGCCAGATCGCAATCTATGGCAGAGGAGAACATAAATAACATACGAAAGATTATAAATATAAATCCTGTAAATGATGGACCAAACAATTTTAAATCCCTTTATCCACACAGCAGTTGCATGGACATTGTGTCGGTTATTGTAATTCGCATGTAATTGTCTATCGGAATTTATATCCTTCATAGAGATCATTCTAAACGATTTGTAGTTCTGCTACTCCCATATCACTTACATTAATAACATTATTAACATAACATATTTGCATTGATAACATTATTGCAAATAATACAAAAGACAGATTGCCCTCATGAATATTTTTATATAAACTATTTTTTGTGAATTGTGGATATTTCTAATAAAGAAATTATTTAATTTCTCTCTTTTTCTTTCTCGTTTTTGTTGTTTTATTGTTGTTGTTGTCTTTTAAGCAAAACATGTCGATAGTAATAAACGAGTACATCAAATGCATGAAAGCATCACAAAACAGTATGTTGCCTTTATACATACACGCGCGCACATACACACACACACACACACACATATATATATATATATACACACAGGATGTCTCATTTTAAATTACGCATTGAAATGTCTCGAAGATCAAACTGCAAAATGTTGCAAACAAAATTAATACGGTTTCAAGAGGACACGTCTGATAATGTTACTCACTTGACCTCAGTGACTATTAAGATTATATATGTAAAGTTACACCTAATTTTAAATAGGATCATATATAGTTCTGTTAACTTTAATTGATTCCTCTGGTTATTCCATGTATAAAAGTGATTGAGTAAAATAACTTAAAAGTGGAAATTTTCCGAGATATTTTAAGTTATATTCTGATATTTTTCAATATAAGATAAGAAATATTTTATACTTTCTTTTATCGGCGCAGTTTCGTCCTTGTAAAATCCTATCTCTGCGTCCACATATATTCTTTTTATATCTCTCATCTTGTCCCATCGATTTTTTACTCAGAAAAAATATTATGTAAGTTTTACTTTAAAGAAAAATTCCTTTTAATTTTGCAATATTCTTCAATAACACTGAAACAGTTTGTTAATAGAGTTTATTCTTACTAACAAACATAGAAAAGTTTTTAATAGTGGATTTTATAGGAATATTTAAATGCTTAAATATTCCTATAATACAAGTTACATATTTGTGAAAAAGAGATAATAAATTCAGATAGCATGTCATTATATTCTACAATACAAAAATTTTATAACTTTTATTGTAACTCTTTCTTCCTATATTGGCCATATAACTGATTTTTCAAGTGTAATCAAGAAACACAATAATGTTTTACATCAAATGTACGCACAAAACGATGCATGAGCCGCAAGGTCGACTACATACGCTTATGCGATTCTGTGCAAAAATAATAATATTAAAAACTTGCATTACTTAATAATAATAAAGACATAATTATTGTTTAGATTTTGATGAATCAAGCTCCAACAATCTTAACCTTGATATGTGTTAAGAGACTATGCAATAAATACTACATTTAAAAAATGCAATAGGCAATAAATTGTACCTCTTTCTAGAGTCAAACAATAGCGGCATGGAGAATCTATTTATCTAATTCCTGAACATTGCCTATTTTTAGGAGTTATTACGAGTGAATATTCATTAAACTATTAAACTATTAAACTATTAAACTATTAAACTATTAAACTGTTTGGTAATAACATTTTAAAAATATACAAATTTCTGCTTTTTCTCCACGTTTGCTTTTTTATTTTAGTTTTATTTTATTTATATTATATATTTACTACACTATTATATTTATATTATATATTTTTTATTATATATTATAATTTTTAAGCCTTATTTATTATTTATTTAGGGAATAATAGAATATAATATAAAAATAACAGATTGTTCAAGAACTCCATATGTTTTTATGCGCAATATTCTAATTGTGAACGGATATTCGTAGGCCATTATAACTTTGTATACCGTTCAGATTGTCAACTACATTCGTGACATTCAAGGAAACTTGCAAACAGTTTCTCAGTGTCTGCGAAACAATCGCTAACTATACATCTGAACTGTGCAAAGAGAACTATCTTACTTACACTCAGGTACCGTATTTCACACATAAATTAAATCCATATTTTAATTACAAAAATATCCAAAATAAATATATCCATTATTTTCAGGTAAATAAAATATATTGTCATGGAAATTTCCGCGGATGTGGAAAAATTATACAACGATAGTTGTTGGATGAACGGCGATTATAATTATAATAATTTCTTCAATCCAAATATTTGTCATGTTTGCAAAAAAAAATGTGGCAATTTGATGTTATGCGATAATTGTTACATGATCTCTTACTGCAGTTATAAACATAAATGCATGCATTTTAGACAACACCAGCAATTTTGCGCATATATAACACAATATTTAAGAGAAAATAGTGGCATAGCATGGCGCTTTCATCATTTAGAAACATCTCAATGGATTGAGTCAAGAAGAAAATTTGTGCTTGCAATCGCGCAACAGCTTCCACGTAGGCTAGAGTCGTACGAAGTGCAAATGATCATTTTCGCAAAATCATGTGATATTTGTCATCAGCAGATTAATATATTTACCTGTAGAGTATGCTATTCCAACAACTATTGCTTTAGTCATATACTAGAGTTTCAAATGAATCACTCATCAAAATGCCACGAGTTGATGTTATGTCTTAATCTTGATATCTTATATATCATACCTATAAATTTTAAACGATTAATTACATTTCCTACTGTATCGACATCTTTTGCACACATGAATGAATTTCTTTTGAATAATGTGCACTGTTCTTATAAGCTCTTCGCTTCTTCTAAAAGAGATCCTACAAAATTCGCATATTTCTGTTCCGATTATGCATCAGGACCATTCACTCTCTATGATGGCATAAAGAAAGCAAAGTTAATGGATCTTCTAAATCGTGCAGGATCTCAATATGTTATCCATGTAATATCAGCAACCTCCATTGAATATAAATATATGAATGCTTGGGAACTTCTCCATCATCTGCTGTGGTGGATAAAGGATGTAACAGTTGTATTGATAGGACAAGAATTACGAACTGAAAATATAAATTTGGAAAGTTGTAATGATTGCAAGTCTCGAAATCGAAGAATTAATGTCGTGTGTCGTTCTGGATTTTATCACGAGTATAGGAATGATTCAACGTTTTGTCAACCAAATGTGATCATAATATTTCAAGCACAATTTGATACAGTGAGCGCATGGCATGAATATAGCTTATTGACATCACAAAGTATGAACTGTCCATATATTCTAACAGCCAGATCGCAATATATAGCAGATGAGAACATAAATTACCTAAAAAATAATATAAATATAAAACCTGTATATGATGGACCAAACAATTTCAAATCCTTGTATCCATATAGACAGTTACATGGACATCGTGTCAGTTATCGTAATTCGCATATAACTGTGTATCGGAATTTACGTGCATTCGAAACAATTTGAAGCCCTTGTATGCGATTCTCATATCACTTGGATAACGTTAATACAAAAAATACAAAAGATAGATTGCTTTTTAAATTATGAATGTTTTTATATAATCCATTTTTTGTGAATTGTTATTTTAATGATATTTTTGAATTGATTATTTGTGAGTTGTTATTATTGAAATTTTTAATAAAGGACTTATTTACTTGCTCTCTCTTTCTTTTTTGTTGTTGTTGTCTTGTTGTCTTTTAATCAAAATATATTGGTAGTAATAAACGAGTACATAAAATGCATGAAAGTATCCCAAAACAGCATGATTTTATACACACACGCGTGCACACGTTGCACACGTAACGCGCACATTACGCATTCAGATTTTCCGGAAACCAAAGGTTTCATTGATAAATGTTGCACACAAAATTAATATGGTTTTAAGGGGACGTTTGATGATGCTACTCACCTGAGTAACTTTGCTAAGATTATGTAAAGTTACATCTAATTTTGTAAATAGGATTATATATAGTCCTTTTAACATAAATTGATTCCTTCGGTTATTTCGTGTATAAGAATGTTCAAGTGAAATAATTTAAAAGTGGATATTTTCCGAGATATTTTAAGTCATATTTTGATATTTTTCAATACAAGATAAGAAATGTCTTATAAATTATGAACTTTTTGACAAAGTTATTTTAATATTTGTATAGGTTAAATGACAAAGAAAACTAATAATGTTAATCTCTATATACTAATCCCAGAAAACACAGAAAATTCAAAAAGAATTTAAAATTGCTAGTGTGCTATTTATCCGAATTTATTTTCAAATAATATGACTCAGTTGTGTAGACAGTATATTAATTAAACGTGACTTAATGAGACGTGGTAGTATTATATTATCGGATACCTGTAATTAGAGTCACGAGCCTCGACATATCTTCAATGATTTTATTTTGAATACATGCGTGCGATGGACTTCTCTTTGTGTGAAAAAATACAAACCCTTAGTGTATCGTATAATTTATAGACTTAACTTTGCACAGGAAGTACCGGTCGGGATGGAGTGGACTTTGTATTGCGTGAAAAGTTAGAAACCCTGGATACCGCACAATTATCGATCACGTTCTATACGAAATGCATTGCGAAGTGAATGTTGTTTTGTTTGAATATAGAAATAAATATTTTATAGATAAAAGTGGGTTTTTACAAATTAATCTTAAAATTGACATAAGCTGGAATATACGTAAACGATGTAGATTTAATACTTAATAAAACTTAAGTTATTGAATCCAATATAAAAGAAAAGTGCTATAAAAAGGATGTCTAAAGAGAGTGATATTGTAATTATTAAAAAGATGGGACGTATTCGAACGACAAAAATATTTTAATACTGTGGCGACACTGATTAATCGCGCCTAACCTCGCACCGCTGGTATTTCATATATGGCGACGATATGCTGCTGAGTTTTTCCGTGTGTTAAAGAAAAGTATGCAGCGATTTAAGAAAACATTCTATTAGGTGCTGTTAATATTGCTAAATTCATGTAGTAATGATAATACTATATACAGTGGTTTGCAATATTTTTCTTGATAACGGATATTCGAAGTATTCCAAATAGCAAGGAATCGTTATTTTGATGTCAATATGCAATCGTAATTGATCAGTAACGTCATACGTCGATTAAATGACATATATTTAACGTCATGTTTTAATATGTCAAAAGAGCTTAGCAATAATAACATCATATAAACGTTTAATTGATTATTTGTTGTAAGTGAATTTTTCGAATAAAATAATATTTTCTGTTCTTAGCGATATACAGGGTGTCCGGTAACTGATCGAGCAACTGCCGTGTACGGGTCAAAATAATCATAAAAGTATATACCATTATGAAATTTTCTCAATATTTATTCCATAATTAATTAAAATGTATAAACGAATGAGCTCACGAGAAGCGGTAGGACAGGCTCTGTGTGTGAAAGAAATGGCTTATCTCTTAGCAACGATAAGTAAACAGCTGATTTTGAGGTGGAGTAACGTATACGTATCGCTTGTTACTCCGCTTCGAAATCAGTTTACTTATCGTTGCTAATAGGTAAGCCATTTCTTTTACACACAGAGCCTGTCCTACCGCTTCCCGTGAGCTCATTTGTTTATACATTTTAATTAATTACAGAATAAATATTGAGAAAATTTCAAAACGATATATAACTTTTATGATTATTTTGACCTGTTCTATTTGTACACGGCGGTTGCTCAATCAGTTATCGGACACCCTGTATATCATATTTTTTGCGACATACGTAATAATTAATTTTAACAATAATTTTAACAACAATAACAATATTTGGCGACATTTGTATGCTTGTATATTAGATCAAATTGAATAAAAATTCCTCTACCATTTTTCAAATGACCACGTACTGATCACATATTTGCTTTTATATAATTCTATTCATGTAGGGAAACATGTAAATTATTTTCACTTGGTCTAATTACCAGATATCACGTTTTGATATTCACGATCTATCAACGATATGATCTATCACGATTGAAGTTTAAACAACAATATTTCTTATTAACATTTTTAAATGTGTTATATATATATATATATATATATATATATATATATTTTTTTTTACAAATAAAATATTAGTATAAAACCATTAATTTTTGCATAATTCCACTCGTACAGGCAAGCGCGTAAACTTGGTATCTTTTTTACTTTTTTTTTTTTTAAAGGTAGGTTTGTTCGGATATACACATACATGTATATACTGCCGCCATGTTTTTACAAAATTAGGCAAGTAACCACCCAGATAGCACAAAGAATTAAAAAAGAATTCAGTTGTATGTCGCCGATTCTGAGTTCATTTTTGGGTGCAAATAGAATTATTATCACTGAACTAAACTTTGAAGAATTCTTTTCGCATCTGAAAATGAATTCAGAATCAGTGACATACGAATTAATTCTTTTTGAATTTTTTTTGAATTCTCTATGCTATCTGAGCAGAATCTATCCCAGATAACACGATGAATTCTTTAAGTGTTCCTAAAGTTTTCTCCTTTCCTGAATTGTACTTCTTTAGGAATTCGTGGAAGAATACTATAAGAATGATTTAGGAAGTTACATGCACCATGACTGGAGTTCCTCAGAACTTCTTAGAGTATTCATATAGAGTTATACTATATGAACATAGATGTATACTTTATGAATTCAAAAAGAATAATGTTTATACATAGAAAGAGAAATACAAACCCAGTAAACACTAACAGCAACATAATATCAATGTTATATTTTCCTAATCAATAATATAAATGCAACATAATGCATGTTACTTACATTTTTAAGTAGAAAATTATAACATTGATGTAATGTTACTGATAGTGTTTGCTGGAAGGATAGTCAATAAACATCAACTTAGTTGTAACGTTACATCAATATTATAATTCTCGCTCAACAATATAACTGTTACGTACAACATATGTTATATGTACCACTTACACAGTTAATTGGAAAATCATAATATTAATGTAACGTTAATGTTTGTTGATGTTTAATGAGTAATAGTTCTCTTTTAACTGAAATAATTAAAATACATCCAGCTTTTCACTATATAAAAGAAGAAAGGAACCAAAAATTGTACAAGATATCAAATAGAATCATATAGAATAAAGAAAGAATTATATTAAATAGTTACATCTTTAGGTTATAAAGTAGCATTTTGTAAAATATAAACGCAATTCAACCATATTCTTACGATTCAATTCAATAGTATCACTTTTCTTTTTATCATATAATTTATTTGAAAAATTTGCAGAAAGTTCCAATTATAATAATACAATTATAATAATAAGTTCCAATTATAATAGTACAATTATAATAATAAGTTCCAATTATAATAATACAATTATAATAATACGCAAAGCACTGGAAATGATATGTGTATCTGCTGCACGCAACCACAAGAAATAACCCAGTAAGCAAAAAATCATTAATATAACGTTGCTACAATGATATTGAAGAACCTGTAATATTATCAAATATGTGGTGTTTAATATTGTATCAAACATCATTATGAACATATTTTGACTGCGATTTGGGAATTTCAATAATGTTGAAATAGGATTGCTATAACGTTTTAATCGGCAGAAATATTTTTAAGATGTTGCATTGATCTCAAATAAATGTTAAAGTAATATTTGAAAAATATATTTTTTGTAATGTTTTTAAAACGTTTAAACAACTTTCAGAAAAATCATATCACAAAATAACATGTGAAAAATATAAATGTAATATTATTAAAAAATGTCCAAACAATGCACATGAAGTCAATGTTTTTAAATGTTAATTAATGTTTCTTGCTTACTGGGAATTGTAATAAATAAAACACTTGTAATTCCTCACGAATTCTCAGAGTGTTCTAGGAATTAAGTCGCAAAGTATTCGCTACAATAAACTTCTGAGGAATACTTCAAGACAAATTTATTGTGGTTACTTCTCTTCACGAATTCTTCAGATATTCATTTTTCTAATTTTGTGTGTATTCTTTAAAACGAATTCTCTAGGAACTTCTGTTCATCTCTGTGCTATCTGGGATGTTATAGGGACTCTAGGCCTAACTACTTGATATCATATTTTTTGTAGAAAATAGAATTTTAAACAAAAATATTCCTCATTAACGTGTTTATGTGTTATTTTACAAAATATTTTTTACAGAAACATTAATTTTTGTATAATTCCACTCATGCAGGTAAGCGCGTGAACTAGGCGCTTTTTTTATCTCTTTTGTAAAAAGGTAGATTTGTTCGGATATTACATCTTTTTTATAAATGATTAATTATCTATTAAACACACACAAATTTTATATAAGTTTTATAAATAAATGTAAACAGATAGAGAATATTAGGTAAATTTATCCTTTATTATAAGAAGTAGAATATGTTCCATCGTATCCCCATCATCCCCATCGTATTTTATTAGTATATGGTAGTTGTTGATTTTATTATAGAACAAATTTCTATTAAATATATGTTGTTTATTATCAAAATGAAAATATATGCATATATCTTTGTGATATATTCAACATATTGTTAATACAGTTTTTTTCTCGCTAACGAACATAGTAAAGTTTTTAATAGTATATTTCACTGTTCCTATAAGTAACATATTTGTGAAGGAGATAATAAATTCAGACAGCGTGTCGATGTACT